TTTTAGATGTTCTAGCAGAGACAAAGAAATAAGTGGTCAGTTGGGATTATCTGCTGGGAATATAGACTTCAGGACAAGATATAAGCTATTTTTACTTCTCTTTTGGGGACAGACTATCAGGGTAATTACTTCCTACACCTCCACAGCACCGCACTTACCCACCTCGAATTTTTGAGCAGGGTTTGGCATGGCTGGCATTCTAAGCCAGACAGTACCTTTGCGGTGGTATTGGTTCCTTTCCCTCACTCTGATCAAAGCTGCTGACCTAGATACCTTAAAGAAGCAAGGATTTATTTTGGCTCATGGATTCAGAGTTAGGGTAGAGGGTGTGGCAGAGAACAGTTCCCACCAGACAGCCGGAGCAGAAAAAGAAGTATACACACAAGAAGAGGTGTTCCCTACCTCCCAGGGTTACCATAATATGAATCCATTGTAGGATCACTAGGTAAGAGCTTTGCAATCTAACTGTCTCTAACCTGGGACCTTGCAGACTGCCCAGAGGTGTGTTTTACTAATCCATGCATTCCTCCTTCTCTAGACAGTCTCAGTCACCACACAGTCTAAGATGACTTTGAACTCACTGTCCGTCCGGGCTAGGAGTACAAGTGTGTACTCCTACTTTACTCTTTCTTAATCCAGTGATGTTGTCAGTCAGAACTAGTCATCCCAAGGGGTCTGTTTTCTATATCACAGGCTGTTTAGCAGTATTCCTGGCCACTTCTACTGGATACCTTATAGCACCTACTACACCATGTATCAACAACCAAAACCATCAACACATTGTCACATGGATCCCAAGGCTATATACACTGTCTTCAGTTGAGAACAATCGATCATCTAAACTCAGCATCAGCACAATTTTGTTTGCAAACTGCTTCTAAGAGATATGAAGCAATGTGGGTATAGACAAAGTTTTGAGCTACACAAATAATCTAAGGGAAAGCAATAGAACTATCAGAGACTGTTCTCCACGACAGTGACGGTGTCTAAGATAAGAGAACTGGCTTTGAAGTCTAGAGACCCGGGGTTCTCCTCTGCTCTGGCACAGACAATAGGATCAAGAGCAAATCCCTTGCCTTGTCAGCCTGCCTTGCCTCTGAACTCTTGCTTTACCGCGAGTTCAAATAGACACTCGAGGGAAAAAGTGTTAAATTCCTTCCTTACATACATCTGTGCCTGATACCATGGCTGAAGGGCAAGTACAGTGCATACTGTGGGTTGGTGTGCTTATATTTCCCCCCATTTCCTTGCCAAAGTGTGGTCTGTGGTCACGGCACCGACACCACCCGAGAAATCTGTTAGGAGAGGCCAAATGTGAGACCTTACTTCAGATTAGCTGCATCAAAATCCTAGCAAACAATGATACCTACTGCTCACGTACGAGGGTGCCACTCGAGAGCAGCTTCAGCCCAGGCTCCCTGTTAACCACAGGAGTGGAAAATCTTAAAAACCACTCTGGCCGGCTTGCTTTTCAGTTCTGGCTTACTTGACAATTAGGTCTCACGGCTAACACTTGTGTACTAGCTAACATACTAAGGATCGCTCTATGTGTACTTTACATACATTATTATTGTGTGGTCCCCCCAACCCTCTGGGTCTCACCACTAACACTTGTGTGCTAGCTAGCTAACATACTAAGGATCACTCCATGTGTACTTTTCATACATTATTATTGTGTGGTCCCCCAACCCTCCTACGAGGCCGACATCATGCTAATTCTCATTATACAAATGAAGAAACTGAAGCCCACAGAGGAGGGTTAATTTACTCACCAAAAGCTTCAGTTCTAAGTACAGACCTACGTACTCTGGACCCACAATCCATAGCGACTCCTACCTCTAACAGTAAGATCAAAAAGGACACAAAGGCTACCCCACTAAAATTTCCAGATCGTCTGTGAAAAGCTCTGATAAATACTGTCATGGAAGTCCCTCTTATTTACTTAAATTTCTAAGCCAGTATCATTTTTTTGTAAAAGTCTAGACGCTGCAAAAGGCAAAAACCAGAAATGAAGCATCATTATTTTAAAGGAAGCAGGTGGATCTCTATAAATTCCAGGCCAGCCAGAGCTGCACAAAAAAACCAAACCAAACAAAACAGCAAAAAAGAGCATTCTTAGGGCTGCTTCAAGTCACTTCTAGGAGTCTGACTCTCTGACCTACTTTTTCCACTTTCTAGGAATCTATTCCAGCACAGAAGTGTTATGATTAGTAGTGGATTTTTTTATACAGCATTATTTAAGAAAGTTTGAAGCCACAAGTGAACACTGTTAGGAGAACAGACTACTAGGGAGCTCTGAAAAAAAATCATTCCTTCCTGGGACGTTTCCGACATGGGAAATAATGTCAACTTCCAAATCTATGCAATCGGATAGAAAACTTGGTTAAAGCACATGATGCCTACTTGGATCCGTAAGGGAAAACACAGCACTACGGTAACACCAATGCTTGACTTGAGGGTATCGGACCAGTTCCTTACCAGCATTTGTTTTCTTCATATGCACTTTTTAAATTTCTGAAGTACACATCACTTGTACAATAAATAAAATGTCTTCCTGTAAATACAGCCATCTCAGGATATTGTGAATGGCAATCTACGCTGTAATAAAAGTAAATGCCGCTGACATTACGGACACAGAATAAAACCCAGAGAGCTTTAGCCTTCCAGCTATCAAGTGGGACACTTATCTTCCATAAAACCACCACGTGGTCACTGTCATCAGTATACTTGGATCATGTCTCATGAATGCAATTATCAACATATGTGGTAGAGCCATGCCCAGTCCCTTCGGTTGCCCGGGGAGCAGCACACATTGCTCCTCCCTCTTGCCTATCTCTCCATGAGGCTTGGCTTGTACTTCTAACCAGGCACAGTTACTGTTTCTCAAGGCTTTCTTCTTAAAGGTACCTGATTTTAGCCATATTTCCCTTGTCAATCATCCTGCCTGCAAAGACTCAGGCTAGAATACTACTTAGCTTTTCTTCAGAGTACGAGCTAAGGACAGACTGTAAAGGATGGGAGAGAAGCCTTTGGAGACTAGAGGCTGGGAAGGAACCCAGGGGAGGGGCCTGTTTCTTATCAGAAAAGGAAACAGAAAACAGAATGAGATACAAAACACACAGGACTAGGAAGGGGCAAAAAGCTGAGAAACACACTCCAGGTAATTCTGGGGCAAACCACAGTGACCCCACCCAGGAGGGCTGTGGCCTTCAGTCCCCTCTTGACTTCTAGGAGGCTGAGACTCTGAACTTCAGACCAAGTGAACGCTCTAAGCTGAAAGACAGCAGGAAAATGGCCCCTGCCTCATTTCAAGCTAACTAGCTTGAAATCAGGATACTTGGATCGCGTCTCACCATTTTGGTTTCTATCATTGGTTTTATGGAAATTTTCAGTGTAAACTTTAAATAATGTAAGAAGCAATTTTCCACAATTATCCCGTTTGTAATCTGGAGTCCTGGCACCCTTAAAACCAACAACAACAACAACAAAAAAAAATGAACAAGGGACTATCTCCATAATAAAAAAATCAAAATGACTCGTTGGAATATGTTTTATAGTTGTCAGCTGTATTCTCCTTCAGATATTGTATGTCTAAAGATAGTTCTATGTGACATTACATAGATTTCTAAATTTCATTTGCAGGTTGCAAAAAAAAAAAAACCCATAGAAAACAGGCTTTGTGATACTGTTACCAAAATATGATGGCTCACAAAAGTTTGCTTTCTGCATCAGTGGGCTGTACCAATTCTGACTTCCTGATAAGAGGTTCCCAGGGACAGATATGGCAAGATTTCAGGTGTGTTTTCTCCATGATCGTGAGTGAGTGTGCAGGTAAATAATGTAGCCAAAATAAAGCGACACAAGTAACACAGTCTAAGGAGAGCAGAAAAAGGAAATTTCACAACACACGGAAGCAAGCAGGTATGAGATAGGGTATCTCTTCCCTAGAACGTATATTTAATCTTTTGTTTCATCATTTTCTTAGTTCTAGTGACAGTCCCAGTAAGACTAGATAGAGTTCCTGATGCTGTCCATGTCATCGCCTTGGTAAAGTCCAGAGAAGTAGTTCCCAGATGTCATGACAACCATCCCTACATCTCCTTTGGGAAAAGGAGTTTTAGTGGCCCTCTTTTCCAGTTGAGCAACTACAGTAAGAGGAAATCAAGACCCCATCTACTGAGTCAGGCATGGGACAGCTGGATAGGAATGCCCCCAGAAAGGCAGCCAGCAAGATCTCCTAGCTACCAATTATTTGCTTCTGTCCCTAGCTCCTATACTGTCACACAGATGAACAATTACTCTGCGCAAGGTGACCAAGCTCAAGGCCACACTGCATTGTATCTGTTTCTCAATATATTGAAATGTTTTTATTTTACTAATGTATTTAGTTGATGATTTATTTAGTGATACTAGAGTTTTCGAAATGTGAGAATAAAGGACAAAAACGGAGAGTGATGGCAATAGACACGGATTAACTGATTATTCCAGTAGTATGGTCTTACTTATGTGATTTCTAAAGGGCTGCTTATTGGGAAGATTTTTGAGTAGCTAATTACTGTAACTGCCTATAAAAAAATCGTCCTACGTAGAGTTCAATTTTTACGTTCAAAATGAGATCAAATTCAGAGAACTTAAAAAGTACCCAGTTTCTCTCTCTATTATGTCTGGCTTCTTAGTAAAGCTTCCTTCGCGTTGGTGATTTTCTTTTTTCACTTCTAAAATGAAGTTGAGCTCTGCTCGGTGGGGCTGCGAAACTTGCTACGGGAGAGTCCCAGTGTCACCCCGGCAGGCACCGACACATGCTTCCCCACCCGCTGTGCCGGCCGGCCGCCCACACCGTCCAGGGCGCGTGCAGGGCTCTGAATCCAAGCGGAGGGCCCGCGGAGCGCAAGTTGCCCGGGGTTTTCAGGTGCGGCACCGGAGGGCACGTCCACGGAGCCCGGCCCCGCCCGTCAACTGCTCGCCGCGTGCCCAGCCGCCTGCCCGCGGCCCGCGCTCACCTGCTCGCCCTCGTCCTGCCGCCGCCTGCGCCGCGGGCTCGCCCGGGGCTCCCGCTCCTCCGCCGGCTCTGCCGGCGCCGCCCCGTCCTCGTCGCGCTCCCCGCTGCCGGCGCCGCCCCGCAGCAGCTCCCCGGCCGAACACATCCCGCCGCTGACACCGTCCGCCAGCACGGCCGCCGCTGGCCACACCGGGATCCCGCTCGACAGCCCGGCGCGGACGCGAACCCCAGAAGCGCACCCACCGGCCTGGGCGCCAGAAGTGCTGGAGCCGCCCGCCCCTCCTGTCAGCCACTCGCCCCGCCCCAAGCTCAGGGGGAGGAGCCCTCCAAGGGCGGGGCTATGGAGGTAGGGGCGGGGCCGAGGCGAACCGCTGCCCAATAGAGGCTGGAGTTGGTAGGGTGGGCAGGACTCTGGGAGGGGCGGAGCCAGGGGCGGAACCAAGGGATAATGTTATCACTGCAGGACAGAGACTGTGAAAGAAGCCTTAGGTGCTTAAGGGGAGATTGGGTGTGTCTGACAGGCTACTAATGTATATGAGAGCGTCTGTGTAATTGTGTGTCTGTAACTATCGGTACACACAACGGACAGATATTGTGTGATGTGTGTGTGTGTGTGTGTGTGTGTGTGTGAGAGAGAGAGAGAGAGAGAGAGAGAAAGAGAGAGAGAGAGTTGTGGTAAAGTGTTGTGAGAAGCATTGTAACAGACTGTAACAAACTGCATGAAGTTGATATGAAAGAAGCCATTAGATGCATGAGATTGTATCTGTATTATGCAAGCCCGTGTATAATTGTGAGCTTGTGAGAGACTCCTATCTCCACACAACAGACTGTGGAAGACTGCGTGCCCAAGTCTACTGTGACAAGATAGTGGTAGTGTGGGAGACCCTAGGTGTTGAAAGTCTGTGTGAGAATATAGGTAGAAGAGAAAGGACAACAAAGAGTGAGAAACTCCATGTGAGAGGGGAGCTGTGTGTGTAAAGATGTGAGCCCAAGTGAGAGGCTGCGTGAGTGTGAAAGACAGAACAAGAAACAGGCACATGTACCTGCACACACTCGGCGGCAGCCGCTGGGGTGTGCCTGGGTGTGTTGATGGCTGCTTATCCTTTGAAAGGAATGCAGGATCTCAGTCACTTGCTTCACTCATTTTGCTTCCTCTCCCTAAGTGCGTCTTCTAGTGGCTGTGCCTATTTCTTTGTGCTTTCTGCTGTGCGTTGTTTGTTGCAGTCCTGGGATCATTTAGGGAACTACCTGCCATTGTGCATATGAGTACAAAGTTCCCAGTGACGAGGGGGAGCCATCCAGTTTCTGTTTCTTGCTAGCTCACCCCTATAAGTATAAACTGAGAAAAACGAAACAAAAAGATCAAGCTCTTGTGCTTGCCTTTTACCTGTGCACTGAGAAAAAGATTGTGGGGTAGAAGGCATATCAGACTGTCAATGGAAATTATTTCCATATTGGACGCATAGGTCTGGAGATGAGTCAGTCATTTGGGAGTTCTCTTTTAAAATGTCTTCAGGCCTAGCCAAGGAGTTAAATATGCAGGAATTTACCAGTGTATATTAAATATTTGCTTTGTGTAGGGGTGATCAGAAGGTTCTCTCATCCTTTCACTCTCACCTAACTCACGTCATCTCTCTCTCTCTCTCTCTCTCTCTCTCTCTCGTACGCATTATCTCACGTAAACATAGTTTCTTACCCACAGTCTACATGTCAGTGTGTAATGGAACCCAGTTTCTCTCTCACACAGACTCTCACAAATCCTCTTTAATAGTTTCTCCCGAACACACACGCTTCCTGGAGACTAGAAAATATGCTTTTAGACATCACAGATTAGAAAGAAAACGAATGTGTTTTAACGTCTCTCTCTTACAGGACTTTAACATCTTAGATGACAGTAATTTAATGGTATATGTACATGATCAGAAGCTAATGTCGCCCTGTGTGGAAACAGGAAGGTGCCTAGTGGGAGGATAGGAGAGAGCAATGTGTGTGTGTGAATATGATCGAAATACATTATACACATGTATAAAAATGTCACGATGAATCCCACTATCTTGTATAATTAACAGAAATGGAGAGAAATGTCACCTTCGAGAACTCAAGCATCTGGGATGGGCCTCACTCCTTTTCTCTAATGGCAACATTTCAGTTCATTTTTGAAATTTTATTTTGGCTTTTGTTTCTTATCAACAAACAGTATTTTATTTAACAATTAAATCCTCTTTACAAAAACAGCTCTAGAATTATATGTGATGGCACAGAGAACATTAGCCTTTACTGCCAACCCTGTGAACTTAGGCCAGCATGGCTCTCCTTGGCCTGCATCCACTGATGCGGTGAGTCCAGCAGCTGTGCACTGGTCAGTTAGGTGCAGAATGAGCAGAAAGTGCCCGTACATGTGAGAACAGAACGCGTCCAGATGGGTTTGTGGAAACACGCAGAGCTAAGCTTGTTCAGTGGCTGGGTCCTTCAGAACACACCGTCTGGTTTTCTATTAATGCTGGTTTCTCCACTTCCTCTCCATTTTCTTCAAGACAAGGTCTTGCTTGTGAGACAGGAGAGAGCCTTCAACTCAAGTCTCTCCTGCCTCTACCTTCAGGGGGGCAAAACGGCAGGTGAATGCTAACACGCCTGACTCGGGCTTCTTGATTGTTTGAGAAGGGTCATCATTTAGTGTTTCAGTGGGTTGTTCTTGAAGACTAGGAGGCGCTGAGCTCAGAAAACTTCTCTCTTACTCTCAGGAAACTTCCATTTTAAGCACCTCATTCTAGTATGCTTTTCTTGGCCAAAATAAAGATAAATAAATAAATAAAGCAACAAGGCACGGGCAGAGTTCTACATCAGTAGTCTTTTTTATATACTTTTTTTTTTTGGAATGATATGCTTTTGTTCCCAAGAACCTGTTTTCTTAGAGACCAAGAGAATTACATCTTTCTACAAATGTAATAATAGTATCTACACAAGGCACTATTTAGATTACACGCTAGACCATACACTTTCAAGGGCACTTTCATGGGAAGAGTGGGCTATTTTTACTCTCTGAGCCATATGAGTAACATCTAAAGAAAGCTATCAAGCACTTGCCCGCGGGAAATATAAAGTTGTTATTACCTAAACAACGGCAACATGTCAGGTTGCAATTTTATTAGCATATTTACCTGTCCCCCCCCATCCCCCGGAATTACGTGTGCTTGTGTAAGGCATGTCCTGGGTAGCACTACATGCCTAAGTCGCTCCTCTAAGAATGGTTTTAATATCACACCGCCACCCCTTTTATACTTCATTTTTAATCCTCCTTGATTCGTTTCAGTTGGTCTTCTTTCCAGGGGAAACAATGAACAAGCAAGCGGTCATGATCCACACCTACCCGACTTTGGGAAGAAAAGTGGTAATCCCAGACTTCACTCTTCTGTTGGATTGTTGGCACACTATGGTATTATTTCTTACAATTTTTCAATATTGTTGATATTTGCTCCTCATCTAATTTGCATCTGCTTATTTCTTCTTTGTCAGAACCTTCAGAATGAGGGGCCATTTTTGAAATGTTTGAAATCGTAGGTAAATGTTCAGGAACCCCTAGCTTTTCGCCAGTATGTGTGAGTTTAAAGGGAAAGGGACATATTGTTGAATTCTTGCATTGCTCTGGGTTCCTGCAGACAAAGGCAAATGGGTGACAGAGTTAGCTGTTGTCAACCTGGCACAACCTCCACGTTCCTGGGAAGAGAGAATTGCGATTGAGTTGCTTACATCAGAACGGCCTTTGGGCGTGGCAAATCTATATGGTATTTTCTTAATTTCTAACTGATGAAGGAGGATCCAGGCCACTGTGTGTGGTGCATTCCCAGACGAGTGGGTTTGGAATGTGTGAGAAAGGTAGCAGCCAGGCAGGGTATGAGCGCCGGGAAGTGGCAGTTCCTGGATCTCTGCTTTAGTTCCTGCGTTGGATTCCTGCCCTGATTTCCCTCAGTGATGGACTGCGTTCTGTATGGTCACCTAAACCCCTTCCTCCACGAGTTGCTCTTGGTCGTGCTGTTTATCAGAGCATGGGAAAGCAAACTAGAGACTGGATCAGGGATACAGATTAGCCACCCCAGGGAGTCAGGTGTCTGGGGAAATGGTTGCCCTTCGTCTTGGAATTAATTCACATCCTGTGTTCTCTTTCTTCTCTCTGGCGTGTTCCTTCTGTCTCCACACCCTGTTGATTTCCTTCCATGCAATAAGAATGTTGTCATCACGGGGGAGAGGGTGGGAAACATGGGAAAACTATTAAACTTATTAGTAGAGAGAGACAGAAAAAAAGGAAAAAAAAAAAAGGAAAAGGAGCCACTTACAAACTACTATTCAACATCTGTCTGATGTCTTCAAAATATAGATAATGCTTTAAGGAGATGGTTGTACAAGCCGATGACTTTCTTAGGACAGTACACACTCATCTGTAAAGATATCTGTACCCTGTTGCTCACTAAGCTCAGATAGGAGCTAATTCAAAAGGGTGTGTCCTGGACAAAAGGAAGGCAATTCAAAGGGAACAAAGTTGCCATTAGATAGGAGGAGTAAGCTTTCCACTTGTACAGTGTGCTGACCATAGTTAATAACACTCAATTATGTACTTCAAAGTTGCTGAACGCAGACTTAAAAGGTTCTAACTATAAAAAAATGGTAAGCAATTGAGGCTCTGGATACATCGATTGTTAGCTTGACATAATAATTCTATACTAGCATATGTCAAAATGTCACATTACCTCGTGAATGCATATAAAAAATAAAATTAAATGCTTTAAAGTTGTTTGTATAAAGATATTCAAGTAGAACTAGAGTCTAAGATGAAGTTTTATGATGAACAATTGAAAAGTATAAGGTAAGTGGAAGACTGTAGTGAAATACTGCTGGGTTTGGGGGAATACACCTGTAATCCTAGCACTCAGGTGATGGAGGAAGGAAGATGGAGGGTTCAACGCCAGCTTGGACTATACAGTGAGTCTGAGACCAGTCTTGGCTTCCATACATATTGAGAACGTTTCTCAACAACAACAACAACAACAAAGAGAAACCAAACCAAATGAACAAGAACAATGACATCTTTTATGTTATCTTGTATCCCAGGAGCAAGGCAGAAAATGGCAGTCAAAGATTTAGCTTTTTTCAGGTTAGGTGTTACAAATTACAGATATGGAATTCTGTGGATGAATAGATCAAATAGAATTTTAAATTGTGTGTGTGTGTGTGTGGCTTTTTCCATTCAGAGAACGTGACTATGGATGATGCTTTCTTATAAAATTAATTGTAATGTCT